AGCACAAGACAGGCTTTCTCTGTCTTTCTCTTTTTGTCTTTTTACCTTCAACCTCATCTTCAGTTTTGTATTTTTCTCCTGTCTTTTCCTTTTAAAAAAAACATTTCGCCCTCAGTCTGATTTTCATTTTGTTTTCCTATTCGTCACTATTGATCTCAAGACTACGTGAGAGGGAAAAAGAGCGAAACACACACATAGACAGAAACATGCCTTTCCTTCCCGGCATACACACAGGCAGACAGACACCAAATTATCCCTGTTGCGTGGAGCATGAAATTAGCAAGTAGCTCAGTGTGGCAGCATTAGCATGGCTGTTAAAAAGGATACTGTGACATTTTCAGGTTCTGAAATATGGTCCTTTTCCATATGGACGGGTGTATTTACCAGGCTGGGAGCTGTTTAGCGCAAACAACCACTGCCGAGCGCTAATGCTAATCGGCATTGGCTTTGATGACTTGAACTCCTTGTGATCTGTAAAATATTTGACAATTTATTGCAATAAAAGTCAGAAAATAACCTTAAATGATCTTATGCGTTTTGGAACTGAATATCTTCTGATTTGGAACTTTTCAAATCGGCCGATTATTTGATACTGACAGTTTGAATCATAAGTTGCAGCTGTAGTACTTTATTTGACAAATATGATAAGCTTATTAAAAATATATAATACGTTTCTTAGGATTAAACCAATGGTTCCCAATCTTTTAAGTGTATCAAGTTGCTGCTTCCTGTCATACTTCAGATGTCTTTCCGTTTTTAGAAGTTTCACTCAAAATCCCTCTAAACCTTTTTGATTTAAAAAACGATTCAAGACTGAAGGTTGTAGTGTGAAATATTTGCAAGCAATTATTACAAAAATGTCGACATTTGCTTAGCACGGCATGGCAATCAACAGTCTAAATGGGGATGTGAAGCTATTAACTAAAACGTTTTAAATTATTTGTATCCATTACGTCCTTGCATTATTAACCATTGGCTGCCTCTAGCATGTTATCTTTCATATTGAATGGGAAAATGCAAGTTTAAATAAAGTGACTGCCAAAATAATTAACTACATTTGATTAAAATATTTATTTTTAGTGCATTGACGATATCATAGAAAATATATCCAAAGAAACATTTTTTTTTATATTTGTTAGAGATAGCAGAGCAGCTATATATATAATCTATACTTTAACTTACCACAAATTGCATGGCTGTTTATAAGGGAGTAAACTGAAAAGCAAAGTTGACATGCTAACCGGCTCCTTTTTGTTCTCTTAGTGTTACTAAATGAAACCCAACCCATTTTTGAAGTATCATTTATGTATAACTTCTTCTACCACTCAAATACCACACGCTCAAATGTTGCATAGCCTTGAGTACCCATCAAAAAGCTTTATTCTGTGTGGAGAAGTTGAGTGTAGACATGAGTGATAGTAAAAAGCAGTGAAGTAGTGATCCAATTGAGCTTGAATTTCTTTGACGGCATTATTCAAATCGAAAATAGAACAGTTCCTCTGCAGTAACACTAAGAAAAAATAACCTTCTGAATGCAGTGGCTCAGACCTTCATATCTTTATCAGACTATACAAGCGTTGCATGCTGTCTTGAATAGGAATATCTGCCAACTATATTAGACGGGGATTGTGTGAGCATCCTAAAGGGAACTGGCCCTCTTCACTTTGCCGCCTCTCCGCCTCTATCAGTTGTAAGGCTTGGCCTTGTGTTCGCTCCAAACAATGAGCTAGGCCTCTGTAGACAGAACCCGGGTCATACACACACCTAGCCTTTTCAGTCTGCCATTAATCCACACACTCACACATAATATTCTCCTCTCTGTGTCCCTCTGTCACACTCCCGCTGACATGAGCATCACCATTTCTCCCTGTTTCTCTTTTTACTCTCTGTCTTGGACACAATCACTGTGAAACGAGGATTATACGATTTTCGAAGGAAACATTTATCGCAGAGCTAATATACTGTGATGTTGAACGTGTTACTCTCCATTTCGACATAAATATAGTGATGTTCAACAGATACAGTGTTTAAATGTCAAACTTATATGTCGTGCACGCAACCCAAGCCCCATCGTGTTGAATTGCACACAGAAATACTTGCACAGCGTGTTGCAGTTCATGTCGAATATCGCCAATTACTGCCAAAGTCTTGTTCATGTAATAAGAAAACTGCTTTAAAATTAACACTCCAGTTCCTGCACTTCATCCCAATCTTCCCATGTAATTGTTACATCACTTTGAATCTGCTCGTTTATCATCTTGCATCACTCCCCAGCAGCATCACCTTTTCACCTTGTCTGGAATCAGTTCCTCAGGGTATCGTGTTAGGCCCACGTCAGGATGCTTTGTTTTTGGTGGGATTAGACAAGTCAGACAGTCGACGCAGCAGTTTACAGATACTGTGACTTTGCATTACCACTTCTCATCCTCACTCAGCATTCCTCATTCCCTTTGCCTCCTCTGTTCACCTTTAGCCCCCTATCTTCTCCGTACTCTTGTGCACTCCCTCTTACCTCTCTCCTTGTTGAATCCTCTCGCTGCGCCTCCATCTCTCCCCTACTGTTGCCTCTCACCCCTGCAACCTTCCGGCATTTTTTTCTCTACTTCAATCAGCAACGCTCGCCAGTCTGAACCTGGCCTGTCTCAGGCAATATCGCTGCCCCGACACAAGGGGAGGAGGGACCGAGCATAACAACAGAGGAGGAGAAGAGAGAGAGACAAGTTTGACAGTTACCTTGACACCCATGACAAACTTTTTTTTTGTGCAAATCATAATGATGCTGAAACAGCAGCAGTTGATGGATAGGGAATGGAGAGTGTCAGAGAGGGAAATGGGGGAGAAAGAGAGTGATGATTGGTGGCAAAGATGTTGAAATGTCATGCTGTAACATTTATTTTATTTGAAATTAGTATTTTTTTAATTAAAAAAATTCACAGTAACTATGTTTGCAACCAACACCTACTGGAGTCATCATTATCTGTTTGTTTTTTTCTCATACAAAGTTTGCTTTTGTATGTTAACGATAATTTACGCTTTAGCTGGAAGTGGAGTAGCTCAGCTTAGTTTAGCATAAAGACTGAAATCAATGGGAAACAGATAGCCTGGCTGACATGTTCTATATTTTTTGTGGTACACAAAGTGTCTTTTTGCTGTTTAAGCTAACTGCCTCTGGGCTCTAGTGTTAGAACTAATGTGCAGACAAAACAATTTATCAACTTTCTCATGAAACTCAGCAAAAACAATATTTAGTGTTTTCCAAGATGTCGAAATAGTCTTTAATGATGTGACCTGTTTTTCTGGCAGGATTCTTTATTTGACTCCATCCATTTGACCACTCAAACAAAATTGTTCAGCGATACATCTGTATAACATTTTGGTAATATTTCTCACAGCTTAAGTTACATTTCCTCGATATTTGTTTACATCTACTGTAGAACCCAAAGATAGTTAAAGGTGGGGTATGTAAGTTTGAGAAACCGGCTCGAGATACACTTTTTGTTATATTCCATGGAATGCTCTTAACATCCCGATAGCAATGAATATCTTAAGTGCTTTGACAAAAAATCTGTGGAAGCCGTGGTACTGTAAAAAGCACGACCAATCATTTTAGCCGGCCCGGCTAAAATAACTGGATGNACTAAATAAAGTTCTGATTGGTCAATTCAGAACATGCAACATGTTGTTAATCCAGTAGAACAGACTGCTGTCAAGGACTGTAATGACCGTTGCTAAGGAGGATCAATAAAGAGAAAGGAAAATAGGTTAAAATAAAAAAAAATCTTAATAATGAAATGTTTCCACACAAATCATAATGTTTTGCAAATTATTTGGCGGCAAATATTGAATTTACATTTTCACCCTTCAGTATTTTATTTGGGCTTTTAGATGAAGACCGCACACAGTTAATACATACAACTATTCTTCTGGCTAAAATACATATTTTTAAAAGTCAATCAAGGAGTAATCTTAATTTAAGGTGTTTGAAGAGTAGATTCAAAATACAATTTACTTTTGAAAAAATTACTGCAACAAAAAAGCAAAGGGTGGCTCATCACACCATGAAATGGGAAATAATTAGCTCTAACGAAGAGTGGGATTAAAGGAACAATAAATATGCTTGCCATGTTGTGTTTTTGGTGGCATTTGGTTGTCAACCTATTTTTGTTTGTGAAATGTTGAAGTGATCCTACTGACTGTGTCTTTATTTCTTCTGTTTTTGTCTGACTGAGATGGGAATGTCCTCTCCTATTATTGTCCATGTTTGTGATTTTTTTTTTGTATTTGGCGACCCACTTGCAATGCCTTCGCCAGGCCCTCCCATTTGACATTCCTGCCCTCCCCCAATAAGCACGTTTTATATTATTTATAAAAATTAAAAAAATGTAATTATAAACTGTGAACTTTAATGCTACGATGTATGTGATGTCAGATAGTAAGAGTAATAGATGAAAAACAGTTATGAAATACTATGACAGTAAAACAAGAATACAGTTTAAAAGGGGAGTGATTTGTAAAATATCCATAAAGAAATAGTAAATCTGTTTACAGTTCTGTTTCATATCGTGTTGAAAGATGTATCCATAGATCTCTTCATTTTGCTGTCAAAGTGCACCAGATTGATGCTTTTAACTTCAATATTTAAAAAAAATCTTCCCGGGGGATGCATGCCCCGGACCCCCCTGAGCTGATTAACGAGCCTTCATTGTAACAGTCGCGGATACACTGTGTATGTGCGTGTGGGGAGTGTTGCAGTAGAATATTCCACTGTAGCGCCCGGTACCTTAATGGGAAACCCTACATGTTTGAGCACCCTCTATGAAACGTTAGGCTACCCCACAGCACCCCCAAAAGAAAATCTCTGGCGCCGCCACTGGCCGTGGAACATGACGGTTTTGTGTGACCTCCCAAGAAAATCATATGCCCTCTGTAGATTTGGTCTGGTTTTCATACATATACAAAATATATAAAGATATATATCATGACAAGAGGTAGTGATAGTTTTCTGGATTTATTTAAGCTAAGCAGTTGGCTGGATAATCAATCTAACTCTCAGCAAGAAAGCCATTCATGAAGTACTTAGTTATTTTACTGTATTCAAACTGTTAAGGAAGAAAAAAAAGTCATTTTTGAGGGTGAAGTATTAAGATATTTATAGAAACAGTTAATAAGCAGGTTTACATATTTTTCCAAAATGGATTTATTGACATCTGTTATTTTGTGGTTTCAAACAGGAATATGGACTTGACATATAAAAGAAAATAAAGCAATCATTTTTAAAACTCCATGTTAATCAGAAAATAAAGTTAAAGTCACTCTGGGTGTTTCATATTCCGATCTGATTCCAGGTCAGATCCGTCCTGTGTGTCCTTTTACAAACTTCCATTCACAGTCTGTACGAGCAAACTAATGACCTCAGCAGAGGCAGTTTGACTGGCAGCAGAGGAAGTGACATCACTACGTGGCTCTGCTCTTGGGGGCGGGCTCTGTCTCGTACTCGATCTCCACGTACGCTCGCTTCTTCCTCGCTGTCGAGCCGTTGGCTGGGGATTTGCCTTTAGACTTGGAGGACGCCTTCGTCTTTGTCTCGACCTCCATCTCATCCTCCTCCTCTTCTTCCTCCTCTTCCTCCTCTCCACTGGACTCATCGTCCTGTTCCTCCTCGTCGCTGCTCGTCTTCAGTTTATTCATTTCCTGAGGGAAGAAACAAAAACATTCAGAACAAAAACATTTCTGTTGTTCAATTTAAACATGATTAAACTCACACTTGGGGAAAAAAAACGTTTGATATTGATTCTCTCAACGTCATGAATGGATCTTTTAAAGGTTCAAACTATTCGGTACACCCCGAGTTCAGATTTAAACATTAGTCCTTTGAGCTCCACTCACCTCAAAGTCGCTCAGGTCGCTCTCCTCCAACTCTTCTTCTGCGACAAACTCGCTCTTCCCAACGCCCTGCAGACACAAGGATAAAGTTCACATGAGAATATAAACTCAAACAGTGTGTGTAGTCTGTGTGTAGGCTGATCTGATGTAAGCATCCTTCATTACCTCGTCATCCTCCTCCTCTTCATCTTCTCCTTCCTCCTCTTCCTCGCTCTCCTCATCCTGCTGCTCCAGAGCTTTGTCGAAGGCGTGGACTGGGAAGTTGTAGATGTCTCCATACTGAGAACACAAACAAATGTATGTTAGCGTTACTAACTAGTACACGGTACATAGTTGAATACTTGGACAGTTACAGAAAAACTCCACCAGTGCTGCTGTCATTATAAATTACGTTGCTTCAAAAACAGAAATGTCTTTCTTAGCAGAAGCAATCAAATGAAATGAATCTGTTGTGCCAAATCATTGACTTATTTAGTAAGTAGCCGAATAATAAGCCGGAAAATATGCAGATAAGATGTGGTAAAAACATGTTAATGACACGTGTTTTGTTCAGCAGGATAGTCTCCACATATTAACACTGCTTTCATGTTTTTGAAGCTAAAGTGTAATCCCAATATCTAATAGCTAACATGACGCTATAAGAGAACTACATTGCATCACAACCTCTAAGCTAAAGGCGGCTAATGTTCGCTGTGATGACGTTTAGTCGTCTCATTTAGTCACATGGTAGCAACTGCTGTTTTTAAGAAAAAAAGAAGCTCCGGACATCACCAGTGGAGTTTTAACTGATGTAGATTATGTCGAAGAATGTGTCTTAAATTTGATTTAACCAGACATTTCAGGTTTCTAACCATACACACGTTTATAAACAGATGACTCTCAGACTCTAATTACAAGTAAGGATAGAAATCGGTCTCTAAATGGCTCTCTGCATCTTATCTAAAACTTAACCATTTCATCTTTGCAGTTGCTTGATCTCCTTTTAAATAAGTTATTGTTTTGTTCCAGGTGAACTATGTCTTGAGTTTGCCTCGATGTACAGATATTCAAAGTGTGTGTGTGTCGCACCGTTCCCTGCTTCAGTCTCTCCAGAAGCTCCTTCTCGATGGCGTTATCCAGCTGAGCAGCGATGAGAGCTTTCTCCTACAGACGACAGACATTAGTACACATTAGAATGAACAGGTGGATGCAGCCTGAATGTTGGAGTGAACAACATGGAGTGCTCACCTCTTTCCTTTTCTCTCTCCTCTCCACCTTCCTGCTGAGAGGGACCAACTTCCTCCTGGAAACACAGTGCAACAGTCACGCTACATTTCTCCACTGAAGGCGCTTTTGATGTTAGCTTCAAGTTGTGTTCACGCTGACGTTAGGATGAGATGGAAACCTACTGTGTAGAGATATTTTTTGTTTTCAAATCATCTATTTTTTAAATGTAATCTTAAAAACATGTTGTGTAGTAATCTTTATTTTCTGTGTTTGCCTCTTGTCGTTTCTGTCTTGGTGCTGTAGCTGGATTTCTCCTCGGGGATCAATAAAGCTTTATTTTTATGATTTTGTGGTCAGACAAGTTTCTATTCTTGAGTTCACTCTCACAGGACCCCGTGAGAAACCGGTAACATGTTTCCAGTTTTACTCAAATAATATGGAAATAACATTAGGGTGCTTTATTGTCTGTTCTGAGCGCCCTTCTTCCTGCTCAGCACTTCCTACGTGGTGTGTGATGCAGTGTTCAGCAGCACTATGCATCACAGTAACAGTACTTACTGTCTCTTGAGGACCAGTTTGCGCATGCGGATCAGGTACTGAGTGATTTTGGTGAAACGCTGTTTGCATTTATGACGGAGGAATCGAGGCCAGTAGATCAGACTCTCGTCGATCTGCTCCAGAGCCTTCTCGTAGTTCCTACTGAGCTTCACCTGCGCACACACAAATATATATCAAATGTTTAACTCAAACTAAAACTGCTGCTAAGGCACCAGAAAGCAAATCTTAAGTAGGGAATAATAATACATTTTCCAAGCAAGAATATACTTTTGTGAAGTCCATTTACTTAGATTACAGTGATCTCAAATCCAACAGAACCATGACTTCCCCTTTGACCTGTGCAGCTATTGTAAAGCGCAGTCTGGGGGGGGGGGCACCACAGGGCCCAGGAGGTGAACTGGGACCTCTCCAAGTACCAGTCAACTCTCCTTACTATGGTCTCTCGGGGTTTGAACCGGCCACCCTCCGGCTCCCCAGTCTCTACAGCCTGAGCTACTGCCACACCAAAAAAAGATAGCAGTGCAAAACATACAAGTGGAAATGTAAATCTTAATCTGTATATAGTCTGTATTTTTCAGATAACCAAGTGAATTCTAACAAATTAGTTTTTTTTGTTTAAGTAAACATACAGGTAGAAAGATCTCTGCGTAAAAAGAAACCCCATTAACTGAGAGAGGAATGAAGCTCACCTTCTCCCACATCCTGGCAGGGAAAGCTGCTCTCTCGATCACCTTCATGTAGAGGAAACACTGACCTGTAGCAGGAAATAAAACGTGTTTAGGGAGGGAATCATTCTCTTGTGTTTCATACTCAAACTGTTTCTCTTTATTATTTGTTATGCTTTTGGAGGTTTCCCCTCTAGTGTGTTCTATAGCTTTCTGTGCATGTCAATGGTCTGCAAAGGCTAAAATCACAGTGTTTCTTTCCACACACTCCCCCTGGCCTGAACCGCCTCCATTAGACTACTTTGTTTACTTCCTGAACATAGTGACATCACTCAGAAAAACTTGCACTTCTATTGACTATCGCACTGTACGTGATAGGCTATGAGACGGGACATCTCTAAGCAGTTGACCAATCACAACAGAGCTGTTCTCAGACAGAGGTTGAAAAGAGGTGCTGCAGCACAGGCAGTATGAGACAAATAAAGAGCTTTTTGAACATTAAAGCACGGAGACATGTCACAGTAGGGACACATACTAATAGGAACCTGATAATGAACAGCAGTGTTTCCCCTAGGTGTACTGCCTTGGCAGGGTGCTGCTCGGGTATCCCGAAAAAAAAATTCGGGGCACCCACATTTTTTTTATCCTCTGGAGCAGAGAGAGGAGCTGTGGATGATTGTTATTGATATCATACAGTAACAAAGTATTTGTACATTAAAAAGTAATAAAGTACAGTGTTACACTTTATTATTTTAATTCAAACTGTATTCCCTTCTTATCATGTAGCCTACACTTCTTCCTTTCATTGATACATTTAAATCACCTGACTACAGCATATAACATACCTGCTGCAACACTGTGCTCTCTGCCTCATCCTCTATTGCTGGAGGCAGCTCCACCTCATCTGATCTCTGATATGAAAGCAATCGTGTTATGATCATATTGAGCTATTGGTGTGAGTCTAACATTAAACAAGCAGTCTGCTTGTCATACATTGCTGACGATACATTTTAAGTGGCAATTTGTTGAGTCACTGCCGCTAAATGCCGGTAGCATCAAGCTAGCAAATCCTGCATTAGCCTCACATCAACAGGTGTAGACAGAACATCCAATTATCCCGAGCTAATTTACTGAATAAACCAACTCACATCTCCTGTCTTTTTTTCTACCCAACTCATTAGACCTGAGACTGCCAAGGCACACAGGGACAATTACAAAGTGTGAAACACTTTAACAAAGCTTGAGACAAATTTACATTTTATAAAACACATTTACATTTTATAAAACAAATTTACATTTTANCTCACATCTCCTGTCTTTTTTTTCACCCAACTCATTAGACTATTCTTCTGCTGGCGTTTCATTGTTGTTTTCTGTCAAATTCAATACTGTAGTTCAAAACCGCGGTACCTGCTCACCATCTGTGAGCTATTTTTAGAATGCGCACGCTACGTTCGTTGTCGCGTTCGTTGTCGCGTTCGTGCGCGTCCACCTGGGCAGGCTGTTTGTGTCCTTCTCCCGTAACGATAACGGCTTGCGGTTAAACAATAATAATAAACGAATTTGAAA